AAACTAACTAATAATTAACATTTTTCCAAATATAAGAGATAACGTACGTAGTACGTACGGTTGCTTTCAAAATGACAAGGCAAAATGTTTAATTGGTTATCAGGATAACGTTCGTTTAAGTTGCATCACATGTCACTCTCATATTACCGACTCATCAAATTTTGATGATAAACATCAAATTATATACGGTAGAAACCACGGATGGAATTCTTAGTTACATGTCAACATATGATTCTATATATTATAGGCCAATTAATTAATTTCGACGAAAAAAATGACGCATAATTTGAATTACTATAAATTATATAATGTTTGTAAGTTGCATCACATATCACTCTCATATTACCGACTCATCAAATTTTGATGATAAACATCAAAACATATAACGTAGAAACAACGGATGGAATTCTTAGTTATTTGTCGACATATTATTCTATATATTATAGGTCAATTAATTAATTTTGACAAAAAAATGACGTGTAATTTGAATTATTGTAAACTATATAATAATAATTTTTAAATAAAAAGTGTGCCTTCTAATATTTGGAGTTTTTTCTCTATTTAATGTTGTTATTGTGTAATTTGAATTAGACTTTGTGATACAACATGAAACCCTAATTTTAATTGTTGATAAAAAAATAATTTTAATTAATCCAAGGACAACCTTCTACATCTCTTCGATTGTATTTTAATAATTAAGAGCTTAAATTTTAATGTTAAAATTTTAAGTTAAAATTTTAAATTCAAATATTGAAATGGATGAGGAGAGTTTGAGAATGAAAGAACTATATATTCTTCAATTATATAATTTATTATCAAATGTATCAAAAAAATAATAATAATAAGGCGATGGCTTCTGCCTTAATTATTATCAAATTGATGTTGCCTAATTGAGTGTCTATACGAAATATACAGCTGGTTTTGTTTGTTGTTTATGTTGTAATCATGCTTTGCTAATGATTGCTTGGCATCTCTTCAAGTTTCAAGTGTTCAGACCTCTTATAACTTTGATCTATTTTAGAGCTTGATGCTGCCCTTTAGTATTGACTAAGAACTAAGAAGCGAAATTTTAAGTTTTAAGCTCAAAATATGGGAAGAAGATGTGAATGCGAGAGTTGCTAGAATCTATTTCTTTGTATACATTGTGTTAGAATGTTTGATTTAACTTCTGAAATACACTTTTTTATTAAAAAAAAAAAAGAAATTAAGAATATTTTTTATTTGAGAGAACCAAATAGAGAAGGGAGAGAAAGGGATGAATGATTTCTTTTATTGATCAAATTAAAACGTTGACTAATATTATAATATGATTGGTAAATAAATCCCTCCCTTCTCTGCACTTTCCTCTGCTCAAACCAACCGTACACTTAATAAAGTTGGGATGAATTGTTTTATGAAAGGCATAACCGCAAATCCGCTTTTCAAATAAGGAGTATTGACAAATTTGTTCGTCCAAAAAATACA